TAATAAATAAAATCAAAGAAGTGCCCTACCATGACTATGAAGCTGATCCCAGTGGGGAAATTTGCCCTCTGCATTTGTCTCTAACCCTGTAAGGGCAGTGATAGCCATGCCGGTCCAGGGACTGACTGCAGTTCTACAGTATGGTGCTTTGGTCAAGGTCAATGACCGGCGTAGCTGACATGTAACAACCATACCATGCATATTGCTTTAGATTAATAGACTATATTAATTAGGCTATGTATGCTTCCAAAAAAAAAAAAATTCCACCATCCCCCTTCTTTTCTTTTTTATTCAACTAGACTACTGATTACAGTGTATTTAATTTGTTTGTATCCATTTTAGCTGCTCCCATATTCAGGGAGCACCAGGGAAATCATTATTATTTGCTCATCAGACAAAGTTTTTATACTGTTTGTCCTTCTTGCAGGAAAAAGAACTCAGGTGCCCCACATGGCAGTGAAATACCTAAATAATCTCCTACAGTATATACACTGTATTTAAATACAACTCATTAATTTCCATTTCCATAACTAACTAGAAGAATAAGGAAAGGAAATAAAGTTCTCAATACAAAAATTTACACTACTAAATACATCAAAGGAATTAACTAGCTGCTATTTTGTTTTCTTAAACAGAACTCAAGCATGTTACCTTGTGAAGCCTTTTGTCTTCAGGCTTAAAAAATTTATTAGTTTCAGTACTAGATTTACGATAGGTGGATCAATATTTTAAGAGCTGACAACATGCCATTTGAGAAGAGATATAACAGATTTAAAATAAGTAAGAATGTCCAGGAGGATGTATAAGTGAAGCTTGAGTGAAAAAATCAAAATAAATATCTAATAATATGAGAAATTTAAGTAGTAGAAAGTTGGGCTTTATGAAGGTTTAGGAAATATAATCAGAGAAAACAGCTTTGCCAATGCAGATGCCTCCATAAATGCTGTTGCAGCCATGCATGAAAAAGTGCGCATGGCACAGATGTTATCTTTACCAGTGCCTTGTGGGTTTACTTAGGGATGAGCAGCTGAGTTTCTGTAACATTTATATAACATTAATATGTGTGCACAGAGGAAAATTTTTAAAATAACAAACAAAACCTTTTGTCAGATATTTGATAAGGTCCATCTAAGGTCCATCTGTGATATGTGAAACTTATATATATATATATATATATA